TGAGATCTGAAATTGCTGTGTCAGAAGGTAAAATTTTTTGGTGTTGTGTGCCATCGACTTGATTCTGACACATACACACCTATGTGACCGAGTAGAACTCTCCCATAGGGTTTCTTAGGCTGTAATCTTTATGGAAGCAGATTACCAGCTGTCATCTCCCATGGAATGGTTGGTGGGTTCAAAGCTAGCCAAGTGCTCAAACATCACCACCAAGGATATGTCTAAATTGCTCTCTGGAGAGTTTTGTAGTCCCATCAATTTTCAGTTTAATCAACAGGGGCACGGGAGGGCCCTTTTCCTCACAATTTCACTAGTACTTGGGCAATCTTTCTTTCTTTTATTTTTTATTTTTGAGAAAGTGTACACAAAGATACATCATTTCAATAATTTCTACATGTACAATTCCACTACATTAGTTACATTCTTCAAGTTATATTACTTTTCTCACTCCCCTTTTCCTATTTATTCCACCACCATTGTTTTAAATTCTTTCTCCCCTCAGCATCCATCCAAACTTCCTATTTGCTGTTATCAATTTGATCACACAGAGATAATTCATTGAAAGGGCACAATACTCAAAGCAGGCATTATTTACTAGATAAATAATATATAAATTTTTGCTTCCAAGAAGGCTTCAGAGAATAGTCTTGGTTTATGGTCTAAAATTTAACAATTATCTGAGGACAACAGTTTTGGGACTCATCAAGCTTCAATGGCTCCAGAAAGCCTGGAGTCCATGTGAATTTGAAATTCTCTTCCACATATATACATACATACATATATATTCAAAATGTATTTAAAATTTATGACCTTTTCTTGTGCATTCTTTGACCATATTCTGTGTCCATTTTAAAAATTGCAGCCTTATTTTTTTTTGTATCATACACACACACACACACACACATACAAATATACATACATAAACCAAAAACCAAACCTACTTCCCAGTTGATTCTGACTCATAGTAACTGTATAGAGCAGAATGGAACTGCCCAACATATTTTCCAAGGCTGTAAATCTTTAAGGAAGCAGACTGCCACATCTTTCTCCCATGGAACAGCTGATGGGTTCGAACCACAAACCTTTTGCTTAGCAGCCAAATGCTTTAACCACTACACCACTAGGGCTCATCACATACATACAAACATCCATGTAAAAAAAGGAAAAACTGATCATCAATCAAATTTATCCAAAGATAGAACCAGGTATTATAGCAGGTAGTGAGTCTCCAATCACTAGTGATTTTAAAGCAGAAGTAGGGATATAAAAACAGATGAATGTATGTTTTTAAATGACAGTCCAACTAAGTCCTATGATTTTGGAAAGCTGAAATATAGGAAAGTTTAAATTGTACCAGTTCACATAACAAATAATGACAGAACTAGAAACCAAACTCTGGTCTCTTGACTTCTAACCCATGGTCCTTCCCAATATTCCACTTATTCCTAATCCAAAATGATTTTATAAATTCTGATATTTGCCCCACTGTTTGGAGATGATAGTTTTCACTCCACCCATTGTGAATAATGAATCCCATGTTTTCTTTGCAGGCCTATCCCACTCTGGGCTGGTGGCCAAGCCCTTTGAGAAAGTAACATATCGTTGGACAGTACCCCCCCATGCAGGCCCCAGTGCTCAGGATCCTGCCTGTATGGCTTGGATATACTTCTCTGCTGCGGATCCCATCAGAGACACAAATTCTGGACTAGTGGGCCCCCTGCTGGTATGCAAGACTGGTGCCTTGGCTGCAGATGGCAAGCAGGTATAGCCAGGGTTTCTGGCTGGGAAGAAGCCTTCTAGGAGGAGGATGAAGCTGGGTGTCCTGAATAAGAGTTAAGCATGGAGCTAGGTTCTAGAAGTGAGAGGACAGAAAAAAATATTAGCCAAGCTGTTGAATTACAAATTTATTGTTGGTGATTTCATTCTATTGGATGCTGTTTTTTTACTCCCAAACTACCTTACATTTTATTATTTATTTATTCAACATTTTATTTTTATTTGGGTGAAGGTTACAATGCATATTTGTTTACACTGAACAGTTCATAACTTTTTGTTTTGTGACACTGATTACAATCCCATAATGTAACAGCTCTCCTCCCACTTCCTCCCTGTGGTCACCTTTTCCTGTGTCCTTCCTGCCTATGCATTTCTGCCTCCCTAGTTTTCTCCCTGTGCAAATACTGCCCTTGTGATCTCCCATGGTTGATTGTTCTAAGGACTGCATCTCCGCAGTGCAGTTGTTCAGCTCGTAGGCCTATCCATTTTTGGCTGAATGTTAGCTGTAGGACTGAGTCTAATTCCAAACCTGAAGAGTAGCTATGGGCCCTACTGTCAGGGGTTTCACTAATCTCCATCTGAGCACTAATCTTGATTTTTTTTATGGTTTTGTATTTTGTTCCACATTTTTCTTTCTTTTTTTTTTTTTTATTGTGATTTGGGTGAAGATTTACAGAGCAGATTCACTTTCCATACAGCAGTTCACATACACTTTGTCTCATGATATT